GCAGACTTGATTGAGTTTTTGACAACTTGCTCCTGAGTTCCATTTCCTTTACCAAATATTAACACAACACAAGTGTACATGTAGCATATATATATAATGCTGCCTACTCTGCCCTTCACACTTCCTAGAATTTGAATAGATAATTCAAACAACAGGTATTGGAAAACTTTCTGAAGCATTTTACACAGTAAACAGTATACAACAATGTGAAGCAGACTGCATTACTTAGTACCTCTTTGCCTCTGGTTCCTTCAAGATAAAATTGTAAATTTTTAACAGTCCATTTGCCTCCATGAATTGGATTATACTCCTCCTTTAAAAGATTAAAGAAGAATTGAATAAATACGAGCTTAGCACTTAGCACTCCTTACTATATTTGAAATTAACCTACCCCATACTTTTGGATAGCCACATTTGTGAGATGGACAAACATGTTGTCTAGTTCATTAAGACTTGCATTGTATTGGACTGTACAAAATCTGCAGAATCCTAGTTTGTACCTGAAATGCATTTACAAAGTTCCATCAAGCTTTTTGAAGACCTTATTAGTTATTAGTGAGTTAGAAAGGGACATAGTTACTGTTAGTAAAAATCATGTAATGGGCTGGTTCACACTAGCAATGGAATTGGAAGCGGAGTCGGAATCAGAAGCGCAAGGAGCGTTACGATCCAGTATAAATCAAAAAGTGGAATCGGAAGCGGAGTCGGAAGCTCGACAGAATCAGAGTCAGAAGGATCAGAAGAGTTTCTTTTTCTTCCGTTTCTGCTTCTGCTTCCGTCACTTCCGATCCAGTGAGAACAAGGTGAACGGAATCGGAAGTGGAAGCGTAATTATCAGCCAATCAAAAAACACATTACCAGTCCCTTTCAAACTTAGAGCAAGAAAAAAAACTGGCGGCTCTAGAGGAAAAACTGGCAGAGGCTGTGAGACAGTTCCCTGTTCTTTATGACAAGTCCTGCAGGGACTTCAAAGACAACAGCAAAAAAAGGCTAGCATGGGAGGATGTCGCTAAACAAGTAGGACTTCAGACCGGCGTGTATTGCAGTAGTGAATACAGTTTCATTTGTTTGATGTTTTCGTTAGTCAGGATCATGCTGTTGTATGGCTGCAGTTTTCTTGGGTTTTTCCATTTGGGTATTTGTTACTGTAGTATTGTGTCTGCTGAGAGGTTACCTGAGAAAAAAAAAGAAAGCTATGTTTGGCAGAGTGCGGGATGGGAGTTAAAATGGAGCGAGATGTGGAATACGAGAATACAAGAAATTTTAATGGCTGGATATGGGATGAGCTAGAATATTTTGTCTGTAGCAGGATATAATACTCATTTCAACAGGCATCATGTTGGATAGTTTTAAAATAATGGATGGCCGTGACCATATTAAAAATGGCCACCATTGATTTTTTCACTCAAGTGAAAATTAGGACATAATGAGTTACATGCAGAGTACAATGTTTAGCTTTTAGACCACCTTGATAAATAACCTTTGTTTGCAGGATATCACACGTGGGGAGTTGGCCTCCCAAAAATGCACCGGAAAAATTATAGCCCCCCACTAGATATATATTATGAATGCGCCCTTGTTAACTTGTTTTTGTTTGTTTTCAGGGGCAGGGGCAAAATCAATGTTTACAAATTTATGAATGAGATATAGCCGGGATCAAAAGAAATTAAAACAGGCCAAAGTTAGTGGCAGTGGATCGGATGGTGTTTCAAAAGTAAAGGATGAAGCTGGAGATATGTTCCCCTACATAGCATGGCTTGATCTGTTTTATAAGCCAAGGAAAACAACTAGTAACTCTATTACAGTTAATTCAGAAAATGAGGAGTCAGAGGTCGATGAACCAACAAATCAAGATGATACATCCCCAGAAAAGGAAAACATATCTGACATAAGAGAAAAAGGCAAAGTGTCTTCATATGTCAGTGATGATCTGTCATCTAATAATTTTAGACCACATAAAAAGAGCAAGCTGCATTCCAAAGCTAAAGCAAGAATGAACCAGGATGTTTCAACTGCAGCAGTAGAAGTCTTGCAATCCATAGGTGCAGCCCTTGGGCAGATTGGGAAGAAGCAAACAACCACCTCAAGTTTAAAAGATGAAGATGAGCTTTTTGGTGCTCTAATTGCTCCACAACTCCACCAGATAGCACCAGAACAGAAAGGGAGGGTTAAATGCAAGTATATATAACATTTTATACCAAGAAGTGTTAGCATCATTCTCTACACCCTCTATGTCTGCACCATACATTACAAGTTCTGTGCCTTACTCTAGTCACCAAATGCACAGCTCCCAAAAAAACAGTGGCAGGAATCAGTCATTGAAAAGGGCTCATCAGGTTCCTAATGTTCTGGCAGAGTCTGAAGAAGAGCCTGTCCTTAGGCCTGGCCATCTCTTCTATCAAAGTCAAACCAATCAGCCACACATGGGATTTCTTGATGACCTCAATGGAAATTAACATGTTGATTAAGTTTAAAACTGTGAAGTGCATTTAAACACATCTGAAGTTAATCTACATATTTTCCTTTACGAGCTGTGCAATAATGAGTTTCAGAAATAAGTCCTTACAGTCCCTGGGACTTTAATTACAATGAAGACACGCCAAGGGGATTACTATTTTACAACAACTGTTTATAAACAAATCCCCATTTTCTTCATAACAGTTCTATCAATCGAAAATAGAACTTTTGTACTAAAAGTTACAAATATAATATATTCATTGACATTTCAAGGTCAATTATTTGGAAACTCTTTCACATGCAGGTTGACCCTGCTTGTTTATAGTTGGAAAAATACAAGTGTTACATATTGTTCAAGACAATTATTGCTGTCTATTATCATGTTACCGGATAGGCCCTCTACTCTGCACATAGTCCCACTGCCATGAAACTGCCCCCTGGTCAGAGTTAAGATAAGACTTCAAAGCCTCTCTAGTTTCCAATGCAGAATTTGCATATCTACTGCCCCTCGGAGGTGGTAAATCTTGCATAGCGCTTATGTTGCCATCTGCCGAAGTAATACTAGTAGTAGTAGTAGGATATTACCCGAACTATCAAAGCTATCCACAAAGCCTGTTGGACAATATATGGCGGGTTCTGTCTGTCTTAAATAATTGTGTAAACAGACAGCAGCTTGTGTAATTTGCACAACTGTTTCAACACTTGCTTGAATAGGGCTTCAGAAAATCCTCATCTGGCTACCAAAATTCCAAAACAGTTCTCTATTACTCTTCTTGCCCTGGACAACCGGTAGTTAAAGATGCTCCTCTCCTCAGAGATATTCCTTCCAGGGTAGGGGCACATGAGCCAAGGCTTCAAGGCGAATATCTCATCTCCAACAATGAAGTAAGGGAGTGAAGGTAACTGGTCACAACCTGGAAGATGTACTGCAGCTGGGAAATTGATGGTGCCATCTTCAAATGCTTTCCCCATTTCTGAATTGCTAAGAACACCACTGTCATTGTTACTGCCATACTGCCCAATATCAACCAAAGTATAATTGTAATTTCCATTGCAGACAGCCATGAGCACAATGCTGAAGAACCCTTTGCAGTCATAATACAGGGAGCCACTTTTTCTAGGACATTACATGGCAATGTGCTTGCCATCAATAGCTCCCACGCAGTGAGAGAGATTCCATACAGTTTCAACTTCACAAGAAATACGTAACCAATCTGCTTGCTTTTCTGGTGGCCTAAATATCGATCCTTTAACACTGACCATTTTGCAGTCAGTGTTTCATGGATGATGTTACTGACAGTTGCCTCACCAACTCTGTATGAGAAACTGAGTGACTGCTGATCATTTCCACTCGCTGAATATTGCAGAGTGAGTGTCAGTCTTTCGGCTGGACCAATTGCTTCTCTCATCCTCGTATCTTTCTTCTTAATTCGTGGTCCTACCATTGAAAGAAGGTGCTCAAATCGTTCTGGTGTCATACATAATTATGTACCTACAAGTACATAACCAATTAAACCCAGGGCTGTCATTAAGGGCTGTAAGTATGCTTGATTTCCCTTGATGCTACGGGTGAAATTCCCTGTTGTTTAGAGAATTCACCCACAAAGTAACAAATTTGCTATGGGTGTGGAGAATAAGGCTACAGGTGACTAAAAAAATAATGACAACCCTGAAACCAACATATTTCTTTAATCTTATATATTTTATAGACCTTATTATTCATGATCAATAGCTGCCATGACATTTTTTTTATTATAATGCAAATTAAGCACTAGGAAGAGGCAGTTTTCCAAAGTAATGTTTTCAATCGGCAGACCGCATGGCTAATTAGCATATATTCGTGGCTATCATGAATCTTTCAACAGGATACAACGTACGATAAAAAAGAATGACATTACCATCCCTTGAAAAAAGCTATGTAGAGGTGTGTGTTATATGTTATTCATATTGTGCATTTGGGACGTCGAACAAGTTTGTAAAACAGTCGCAATCACTTTGAAGACCAAAATACAAAACTGACAACATACCGAAAGTAGGGCTCTCTGTCTGACGCACGAAGTTCTCTCACAAGGTTTCCAAATTCGCCTTCACTTTTCCTTTTTAAAAATACTCCACGTACCCACAACCTTCTCCTTCCTTGGTTCCGTTGCAGACGTCTTCTTCGTTGTATGAGAATAAAAAGCAATAGCAAAAGCAGCAATCTCTCGTCATCTCCCGGGTCCGCCATCGTGAATGTTTACAAATGAAAGGGAGGCTTACGCTGAAAGCAAGGCTTACGATTCCGCTTCCGTCATGCCGATTCACACTAGATCAGAACTTTCTTCCGATTCCNCTCGGGTTTTCGGAGGTTCGTCGTATGAGAATAAAAAGCAATAGCAAAAGCAGCAATCTCTCGTCATCTCTCGGGTCCGCCATCTTGAATGTTTACAAATGAAAGCGAGGCTTACGCTGAAAGCGAGGCTCACGATTCCGCTTCCGTCGTGCCGATTCACACTAGATCAGAACTTTCTTCCGATTCCGACTCAACTTACGACTCCGCTTCCGTCGCTTCCGTCGCTAGTGTGAACCAGCCCTAATGGTGATTTATACAAAAATTCAAGCGCATTCTACTGTAACAGCACTGAACAAAGAATACGATAGCTTAAATCCTCAGAATGATTCTAAGAGCTTGCTGTTTTCGTTAAATAACTGATCATGATACATGCGTATTCAAAGAGGAGATACGGATATTTTGGTGGAAGAACTGATGTTTGACTGGAGATTTTTATATTGTCTCATCTTTGTCTAAATCAGATAACAAAATTGAGGGTAAGTTGTGGAAAAACGAACGGCCATTATTAGAACAAATTGTTGTTGATCTGTTCAAAAACCCAACAAAAAGCAAATAGAAATAGGTTACTCAAGCACTTACTGATTAGCCTACGTAGCAGCCGTTTCCTTTCCATTTTCCAGGCTGGGAGATCGAGCAAGCGCGCAAGCTAATGAGCGAGCGAACGAGCGTGCCTGGTGTGAGCAAAGAAAGGGGAGAAGTGGGAAGGGGGAGCGGTTGGAGAAGAAATGACCCCCTCCCCCTGCTCCTTATTTTTTCGCACTCGCTCTCAGTTTCGCACCCTTCGCGTGCTTTGAAACGTCTGCTACGCAGGCACTTACTGATCGATATATAAAACAGCGAACAATTTCCAAGGATATACGGAATGAACTACTTGTTATCACTTTTGTGGTTATCACCATTGTACGCTTTGTGAATAGTGCGCTTTCTGGCCACGGCGGTGATGCGTGTTATCGAGCCGTGGATAGTCATTTCTTTGTCTTCATTTGGCTTGTACATAAATACTTTGTGAACATGAGGCTTAAAAGGTGGTGGTTTCGCACACTTCACGTTGAAAGGCCAGTCGCATTCTCCCGTCTTATAGTTGTATTTTAAGCGTTTTGGACAGTTCTGCTTTAAAGTTTCTCCCTCGGTGCATGTGTAGAACCCTGAGCAGTCATACGGATCGGCGTAGTTACCATCTACTTTGTCAAGACAGAATTCTCTATCCACTTACCCATGGAGGAAAAGGAAAAGAGAAAGGTTTAGTGACACTCGAATCAAACCGGCCCAAACATCTGGAGGTTATTAGCGATTCCGCAACATATAAGCACCGGCGTTACTAAGATTATAGGCATTCCTCCCTGGGTGCGATGCAAATCCCACGGCGGGTAATCTCCTACTATTCTGTAACGTCACCCTGGCTAACAGTTTGCCAGTACCTATCATACTTCTAAGTGAGTAGTGGTACTGTGAAATTTTAGATCCCGTCCACAGTACGTCTGAGAAATCCAGTTGAATACGGCGTTTTCACCCTGAAAACGTATCAAATGTTTTCCGTCCCCACTAAAACGCGAAGTCGGTGTTTTCAAATTCCTCCGGTTTGAGTTGCGTTTTCGAAAAGCTCCGCATTCGTGACGGATTAGTGTGGACGGTAGTCTTAACCGTAGAAATAAAGTGGGTTTTCAAATTTCTCCGGCGTACTGTAGACGGGCCTTGGTGTCTGGCACAGGGACACGACACAGTGACCTCGGCGGACAGCGTTCAACCCTAACTTATAAATTGCAGACAGCTACTGTGAAATTAATGACGCTAATCCTGGTAATGCTTGTCCAGCTCTATGAACTGGGTCCAAGGTGGCCAAATAAGATAGTGAATACCTGCATTTTTTGATAAAAAGTGTCATTTTTACCTGTGATTCCCATTAGATTGCCTTCAGATTTTACGATTGACTTCACCGGTGGTTTAACTGGTTTCATTTTGTTGTTTTCAGCTAAAGAATCAATGAGGGATAATTCAAATTAACGCAACGTATTATTAATTCTTTCTTTGTCGATAACAACTCTTTCCGGTATATACTGAAAATTAACTGACAAAAGAGCTTGTTTTGGAATAGAAATCTCGACAGGCATTCTTCAGTTTTTTGTTTCCCGTTAATTCACTCTGAAAATGCTCAATTTTCTCTTTAGTCACTCACGTCAGGCAGACATTTCAGTACCTGAATCCAAATTGGTCGGGTTGTGACCTCCATCACTGTTCATTCCTATACGGGGACTGGGTTTGACTTCCAGCATGTTGTTTTCTAACTGCTTGGCACCGGCACCCTCTGCCGTTCGACATGGAAAGTCTTGAGGAGTGTCGCATGTTTTCAGTAAAGCATTGAAAACCATTCCCTTGAGGCAGTGTCTCTTGGTAGCTTTACCGTGCAGACACTGGTAAAATACTGTGCAGTCGTTTGGATCATCGTAAAAGCCGTCAAACTTCTCATTGCAAAAGATGTCTTCCACTGGTGAAGTAAAAGAGTCAAAAATTACTTCCCCAGTCAGAATTTGGTCACTAAGAATGTTCAGGCTACTGGCTTTCGGCCAGTTCCCAAGGCAACGTGACCTTTGAGTGACACCATATGTCAGAAGGTTACACAGCACTGGTGAAAACTACCGCTATTTTTCTTGGATAATACAGATTAGGATACTGAAAAAAAAAACAAAAAACACAAAAAAAACAAAGCTTGTACACAAATTATTACGAGAATTATCATTCTTGGATGCACCAAAAGGACTCGCTACTACAACAAGACTTGCTGTTGTACTTTGCTGCACGATAAACCCTTTGATAAAGGCAAGTTTAGCGATTTAGCGAATTTAGAGAACTGACTTTTCGAGGTGTAGCACTTCGTCGTAGCAAATTTGTTTGAATCGGTCGGAATTGATTGATAACATCCTCCTGTAATATCCACCTTTACCTTTACTTAGTAAAGTACAAATAATGTGCTAAAGGAATTTGCACTCTTATAGAAGACAGCTTCAGCAGGTTATCCTTAGTTCCCTTATTTCTTTTAACTGTATAAGCCGTTAAAAGTCAGGATTTAGTCGGTGAAATAAATCGTAAGGTAACATAAGGCTTTTTAATGTGTTGATCGCAACTTCTGTTACTTTTCACTTTTGGATGTCGACAAGGCCCTGCTGAAAGGTGCAAGATTTGCCGCAATACTACAAACCAAAATGTGTCTAAAGATGCCCGCTGGTGAGATTAAACAACACAGTACAGTTTATGTAACATACCTTTTGTCAAGGTGTTCGGACTTGTTTCGGACAGGTCGTGTTGTGTTTTGGGGCTAGCTGCCTGCTTTGCGGCTTTCTCTTTAATTGGAATGAAAGCACTAATAACATTTCGTTGCTGACATGGAAAGTTCATCGGGTTGTCACAGGCTTTGAGAATGTCATTGAATACCTGCCCTCTAAGACAATGCTTCCTAAAGGCACTTCCTCTTGTGCATTGATAAAATGCTGCGCACTCCTTGGGATCCTGGTAATATCCATCTAGCTTGCCTTTGCAAAACGTGTTATCCACTAAGAAAAAGAAAAAAAAAAATGAAACTGCTCAAGATCCGAGGGTCGATTAATATTTCAAGCCTCGGTGAAAATAGGAGAAAAGCGAATTGATTACTACCGCCAGGGAAAATGGTGTATGTCTTGGGAAGTCGTTAAGGTGAAATAGACCAAAAAGGTTTCTCCTGTTGATGTATTCTGTTCTATCTATCATTAACTTCCAGCAACAAAATCCACGATTCTTTTGATCAGTATCCAGAACCTTCTGCTCAGCCTAGATGTTTTGTTCCATCTGATTGGATGGCAAAACAGAAAAGGGTAGAGACAAGAGAAAACCTCTCCACCTCTGGGATAAGCGGCAAAGTACAGTGTAAAGCTACCTGTCATTTGTGTGCCACAGATGGTAGAAAATGTGACTAATATCACTTCTGACATGAGTATATACTCGTAATTTGGTAATACCTAGCTGCATTATATTGATAGAAGAAAACGTAGCAGTTACCGTGAATCGAAACCGCAAGAGAATCCTTGTGTGGATGGACCATGATGGTAAACAGCGTACTAAGATAGAAGTGTTCTTGATGGAGCAGTTTACGCTTATCGAAAATGATGTGAATGTTTAGTTAGTAAAGCAACTGCTTAATCCTCTCAGAACCGTTGTCTGCTCACTGGTTGCCTACCTATTTCGTCGTTACTCCCACTCGAAGTTGGACCTTGACCGTAACATTTGATAGTGCGTGGATCACTTCCTAGTGAAACAGAAAAACGGCGATCGACAAGATTTGTAGGCAAACTTACGGTAATACAAGAATGAAACGGTAAATTAACAGCCAAATACTTCCGAAAAAGCGATGGAATAGAAGCGGCAAGAGGGGCCGTTTTTCTGTGTTAACATTCACTCATCTAGCTAAACACACCTATCGACCAATGAGAGCGCGCGTAGTATCTCAGTTATTTTATAATACCTTTTGTGAACCCCGAGAACTGCACAGAAGAAGTTATGTCCACGTCGTTCTTGAGCTCTGTGATAGTAGATTCCACTTGCTCACCGCTGACACTTGTTAGACGGACGCGTAATGGGAATTTTATTCTATTGCGTGATCCCATTAAGAAGAAATTGTCATCCGAACGCGGCAGACATATCCACTTTCCATTGTGAGAAATCTCTACTCCAACTGTCACCACCCTAGAAGCAAACAAATCCGCTTAGAGGACGCTACGACCCCAGCTAAAATGGGAGTACGCGACAGTTTTGGTTTACGCATATTTAACGTCAGATGAGTAATATTTAGATGAACTTCTTTAGAGCTATGGACTAAAACATAGGATGTTAGTAAACGCATGTACGCACTGGGGACCTATTTTATGTCCTTGTCCAGGCGAACAATTTCGTAGAAAAGAAAGCATTTTTGCATTTTTTTTTTAACTTGCCTTTACCTTTTCTAATTAAGTTAGCGTAAATAATTGTAGTAAAATACTACTGTGGAACCTCACTAATTATTAGATCGTTGAGTCCAAATTTAAAGGATATTAACTTATTAAAAAGAGTTCAGTCAGAGACGTAACCTAATCAGTACCTAAGAGAGATGGAACCTAACTGGTCCCAAATTGTGAGTCGATGTTGATAATTTAATCTTACAGTTAAGTAAGCCTTACTGTCGATATGGAAGAACTTGCCTAGAATTTCTCGTTTGTAGTTTCATGGCCCATGGATTGCTTTCTACAAATCTGAACTTGATGTTTCCATTGATACCAGTAACTGTTGGGCAATCGATCGCTCTAAACTGCGTCCTCCATTGGTCAGAGCCAGGTGCGTATAAGTCAAAGCCTGAATTAAAACCAATATCGGAATTAGTTTTGGGAAAAAATGGTGTCGTTTGGGGGAATTCTTCCAAACCGCACTGGTAATGTTTCCGATGTTTGCGGCATTCCTTTATTGTCAACTTAGTGGTATATGTAATAGGGCTACATGCTGTCCAATTTGGAAATCATTGAATGAGACTTCCGACTTCTGCCAAAATTCTATTTGGCAGTCAGATAATTTTTTTTAATCAATTACTTCCAAATTACATTTGGATGTAATCGTAGCCCCTGTTAATATTGTTGAGCTCGGAATTGTCTAAATCATTTAATTTGTTGATTTGGACAAATATCTGAAGAAGGAATTGATTTTGGAAGTTTTAAAAAGTAACAAAGAATTGTGTGCGTGCTTGTATGGGACACTGGGCTGACAATACAATTAAAAAGAGACCTGTTTTCATTTTACCTTGTTTGCAGTTTCCACAGCGATCAATTACGAAAGCGTATATCGGTCCTATGATTGGCGTCTTTGGAATTGTTCCTTTTTCAGCAAGTTCTGCCAGAATTCCGTGACCTTTGATTTCCACGCACATTCCACATCCTAGCGACTTCTGAAACTCGCCATCCCCTGCCGCAACCTTGATCCAACCTTTGTGGCTGTAGTCTGAAGTTAAAGGGTCCAGAGAGCATGCGCCCCCACCTTGATAATATCCGTAGTAGGAGCTCTGTTCACGGTGAATTCGCACAGTTTTATTATACAGTTGTAGACGACAATTCGATATTACAGACATTACGTTGATCCTTTGATTATAGAGTTGGCCTCTGATGGAAATTCCAGTACATGGTTCAGTCAAAGATGCCGTTTCTATACTTAAGCGTCCTTTTATCCACTTATTGCAACTAACTTTTCGCGCTAAAATCTATTTATGACAGACCAGTTTCTGGTGTTAATTAGTAATCAGTTGTTCTGTGCACAAGTGACATATTGAGCACAATTTAAATCAAGCACAATTATTTTTACGCAATTCAGACTTAAGTAAATCAACATAGAAAAGTCACGAACCATGTTCAAATGGGAATGTCGATAAAAGCTATTCAATCCCACCCTCATTTAATAATGCTTCAATATATAAACAGGAGGCAATAACTAAGAATTAAGAAATCTGCAATCACACATACGATCGAAACCTGGTCAAATCTCATTAGTACTTTAGTGGAGTTAAAAAAAATCTTATTGTGGTCTACTTCATTGTTACTTACATTCCCATCCATCAGTTGGCCGCTGTAATGACGCCATATTGCCAATAAGTTCTGAAAGTTGGTGACGCCCTTAAATATCAAATGCAATAGAGCTAAGTATTTATAAAAAATCTTGCTGGCATCTGTTCTTAAAATACCGTTCTACTGGTGTATAATCTTGACAGACACTTGGCGTGTTCTGTTTGCATTGAAATCTGCGATCTGATTGGCCATTCCATTGTTATCTATTCGCTGATAGAATACAATCGCGCGGGGGTTGCTCTTACAACGGAAAATGGTTCTTACTGTTTGAAATTTCAGTTCGGTCTGTAAACATACGAATGATCAACAGCATCAGAAAAATGAGAAGTTGGAGTCTGATACGTCAATCACAGATATTATTAATAACAGGAGTAAGTGGAAACCAGTTAAAGTAATTTGTCTGTTTTGGCATTTGTCTCATATTGTAAAGCCGGGCAAACACGCTGCTTCATATACTGAAGGACCACCAGATCTTGTCTAACTTATGTATTTTTGCACTTGGGTCACTTAACATAACGTGCGCGTGTTTGTATCATATGGTTTAAAGAGAACAGTAGAAACATTTTGGAAGAATTCCTTGACCGAACTGGCATTCGATAGTGTGTTTTTATTTATTTCCAATTCTTCCAAACTTTGTCTATTGTTTCCATCAATTAATTTAAAGAAGCGACTAGTTTCTATTTCTGTTATAAATTCAGCTATCCCAATATGTGAAAAAAAAAAACATAATTTAATTACATACCTTGGAAAATCCTACGCACGCACAAAGCAGAAGTAGTTTTAGTCCTTCCGCTCTCGAAAGCATATTCATCGCTCCTTATACACGTTCATACAGGTCTCTGCTGCAAAATACAAATAACAAGTTATTTAACCAAGTAAAGAAAGGTCAAACCCTACGGAGGTGACATACGTACCAATACCTACTACATGGACCAGGAAATTAAAGGGTTGTTACGGCTCTTCAAGCCACTTAAATTCTCCCAGTATCATAACGAATTTTAGTGTAATCTGCTAGCGTTCTACCACAAATGCTGTTCTTTTATTAGCTAGGCTCTGCAGTGTGCAGGTTTTAACAAAATGGCGGCTGCTTTGCTTGTTTTAGAAGAGTATGCGACGAGAATGTTGTTTAAGTTTTAAACGACTGTTAGATTTACACTTGAACAATAAGGTTATCCCCTGTCGGTTTCTATATATGATAGTTAACGCGGGCTGCGCCCTCGTCAACTATCACACGATAGAAATCTCGAGCTCACAATCTAATTGTTAAATAGTACACTTCGAAATCGCGACTCACTTCGCTTCTAACATTACTAATAAGGGACGTGGATTTTGTCGCTCCTTTACTTTCAGCGATTGAACTCTTGAACAACACTTGCGTAACCTATTTTTTATTGAGCCGATGAGTCCGAAAACATTCGTTATGGGTGAAAGATATAGATCACCATATTAAGTTCTAATTTTTTTGTTTAAATTTAAAACCGCGATCAAGTCACTTTTCACCGGGCTCAAGTTGAAAATAAACTGAGTGTACTTCAGATCTGTCTCACCTGCTACTTTTCAAGTGTGGCATGTGATGAACTTGAACAAATATTACAACCGTAAAAACAAACTCTATTTTTAAAACCATTAGTACTGCATATATATTTTTTCCCACTGCGTTTAAAGAAAAGTTATCAACATTTTAATAAGGCTGGAACTGGAAAACTAGTGCCAGTTGTTTGACTTTATTTCAAACAATTAAGAAACATTTGTTTACAAATATAGACAGATAAAAATAAATTACCTTTGACAATCCAACCCGAGAGCGAGATAACGCTGAATTTCTTTATGTTACTATTGTTTTTGAAACTCCTAGATTCAATAGCATTTTAAGTTGAGCGAATATGTTATCAAATTCCCAGGTGTACTTAAGTTTAAAGATTGCTTACCTTTTCCAGGGATTTTCCTAGAGGCAAAATTTGCCTAAAAAGAACAAACATTACGAAATGGAATTTTTGACCTTGTAGACAGGTTAAGTTAGCGGGTAGTTATAAGAGGTCAGTAATATTTGTAGTGGCCTAACACTACGTCACGTACTTTTACACTTCCTTTTAATTGTGGACACGGTCATTTCACGAACGCCGACGATCGTTTATCGATTAGCCAAAAATTTGAAAAGCCCGTATTTTCTGAAGAGTCCCGCAACGAGATATTTTTCTTTTATCCGAGATCACAAAGTTTTCCAAACATTAGTAACCGAAAATGGTGGACAACCGAATTTGTATTATTATCCCTTTCAAAGAGGCGAAAAGAAGATTATCACATAATCCGTGCGGGCCTGCACCCTAATTCCTTGGAAAACCACAAGGAAAAAGGTCCCGTATGAGGGCCGTACTCGTCGAAACATAATACGTGCGGTCCTACTAGAAATGCGTTTGGCCCCGAAAAATCGATGCGAGTTAGTGACAGAAACAATTTTTGCGCTGCACAATTTTATTTTCTTCAAAACGAGGGATTAAAAAGAACATTCTGACAGCGAAGTTTACTATCTCGGCGAACTGTCCGATTCAGAACTACTTCCGTTTTGGTAACTCCGAAAGTTCAGAAAGAAATTCAACACTCCTCACAAAATAATTAAGAAACTAACAAACTAACAACGAAACGGTTTATTGACTGAGTGAGGTCGGGCCGGATCGGGCAGATATTTGCCTTTCGGTCAATACGCCTGCATGGAAACGATCATAAGCCGCTTAGTTTGTTTGCTTTCAAAAGCACAGCCTGCTTTGCAGGCCTTAAAGAAGAGGGATTCGGGAGAGCGAGAAGTGTGAGGTGCTATCGGAGAGGGAGGAAAGTTCTCCCCCGTCCTCCTCCGATCGCACTTCGCCTTTCTTTATTCCCCGTCTCGCTGCCTTTTGAACGCCTGCCGCGCAGGCGACAAAAAAAGCGAAAGTTTCCCGACTTTAAGACCGCGTTCGATCAAAATGATGTTAAGCAACACCTTCTAATAGCAGATTTGCACGTTGTCGTCATTTGACTACAATTACCAGAACTCCTTTCGTTTTCTCTTTGTTATTTAAATTTTAAATTCCCAGTGGGGTTTAAATAACAATTGCCCCAATTAGCATAAGAAACAGAAAAAGTGAAGGATTCTGGTAGTTGTAGTCAAATGACGCCATCATGCAATAAAAGCACTGAGAATGCATTTGCATAGGGTTAGCCTCGACCTAAAAAAAATATTCACAAATACCGGCGGGAAGGTGCCACAAATTTGAAAAGTAAACAATACACAGAGCTGTAAACAGGTCATCTTCTCGCTGACATTTGTGAATATTTTACTTTAGGCCGAGGCTAACCCTTGCAAATGCGTTCTCAGTGCTTTTAATCAGCGGTCATGGCGAATTCGAAACTGGACTATTGGCCTAACAAGCCAAACTTCGCAGACATTTTTGACTGGTTTGACATCAAGTAGAATTCAGTATTATGCAGCAATCATCAAAGGCACTTGGAATTTATTTTCCTTGTCTCTTGAATCAATCATGCACTACCGGTATGAACAATGACTATGTTTGAGCGATGAGCTATTCTTGAGTACCGTAAATCCTCAAATTAGTACCTCCCCTCCAATAACCTCCCCCCTCCCCTCCCCCTGTTTTATGGAATAGTACTGAGACAATAAAGGATGTATAGTTTAGGTCGTGTTCAATCTCAAGCAAATAATTTTCGACTCATTCAAGCACTGCACATTGACCGTCGCAACGGATGGTAGTAAAGAACGGCTGATTCATTGCCTAAAGCCCAACCAACCTTGTGTAGCAAGCCTAAACCGGCTAAAGGGGTTACATGGCGTAGTTCTTCAAGAGAGACAGGATCCTTCTGAGGAACTGGCGCGTTCATATATTACAAAAAAAAGAAAAAAAAAAAAAAACGATCATACCTGAACACAATTTGGGAAAAATTAAATAAGCGCCCTCCCCCCTCGAATAAGCGCCCCCGTCTTCTCCTAAATTTGAAATAAGTGCCCCGGGTGCTCACCTTAAGATCCCATAGTCCCAAAGAAAAACTCCCCGGGATTCAAATTTATTCATCTTCAGTCCTTTTATTCGAGGTTCCTCTATAAATGATCTCGTTCCTGGCGAATTTTCTTCGGTATTTCATACGACCACTAGCGACGCTATTTCTTCCCTAAATTCCACAGAGAGGGGATGCTTAAAGCAAAATCAGCTTTTCAGAATTCCGAGTTCAAAAGCGAGAGTTTCCTTTAATCCTACTTTTGGTTTAATCAGGGGTTTATCAAAAAATGAAAGAATCATGAATCAATCAATCAATCAATCCATCAATAAATCAACAAATTCTAAGTTGTGTCTATTGTTTGATCGGCTTGTTATTGGTTTCAGTATAATTTAATATTATATCACAAGACTGGAGACTGCCTTCAAACATACACGTAAACTGGAGACTATACTGAGCGTATAAAACTATCATTCATTTTCTAATACATGTAACATTTTAATTCAGTGCTATACGTTGCTGATACAAACAGTGGCGGCTTACAGAAAGAGGGCAGTAAAACGAGTCTAAAATAACGTATATATATATTTGGTAACAATATTTTAACAATAACCTTAACTTCGTAACGCAGTCGTCAGCACAGCCGTTATGTGCAGTCAAGCTACACGTTCTAGTTTTAACTATGGCGTAAGCGTCATACGATTAATTGATAGATATTTTATAAAGGAGTTCCATTTCGTTTGAGTTCATCATCCCGTTTGTCTTCCTTGATCCTTCGACTTCTCTTCAGGGCCATGTCAGGAAGAATGGTGAAATCCGTATTAGAATTAACCAAGACTACTGTTTCCCGTTATTTTCTCGTTCGTTTTGCTTTGCTCTGTATTCTTGTTATCTGGCACATCGCACACCTTTTCTCTTGGGTTGAACAGCATTGCCTCAGGACATTCCCTTTCCTCTGACACGCCATTAAAGCAGATGACAAAGCTCTTCTGTTCAAACGGATTTGTGTAAATACCACTCGACTTTCCAATACAGAATGACTTCAACCCTGAAAGAGAGAAAATCGAATGTCAGCAAAGTGCCCATATTGCTTCGTTAATGCTTAGGTTTCATGATGGTAACAGGATTAAAAAAAGGATAAAAAAAAAGTGAACGACCGCGTAGTAGTAGTTCAATTAATTTAATAGAGCGGTTTTCAATTGAGTGTCGTAGAACCAAAACAAAACCAATTACTAGACAATTAGACTACTCAGCCAATCACGAACTGTCCTCAAAAAAGACCCAAAACCAAAGTAATTACATTCCTAACTACTCTAATCATGAATATCGAAAGAGTGGGACATCGAGCGCTAATAGAATGGGACACAATGAATCCCTGTTACTGGTTATTTTCAAAACTCAGGCACGAGTAAAAACAATAACAGCTAGGTTTGTTCTGACCGAGATAGACGTAGAAAGAAACCCATTCAATTACAACTGTCCAAAAAACAGCCCATGTGATTGAACGCACATGCCTGTACAGTCCAATTACAAGCATGACGCTCCGAATGTCCAATGGCATGAGTGACGCGTACATTATCGTACTTAAGCTAAAATCATGAATGCTGGTTGTCAATCAATAGTAGATTAGAAAGCAGTGGTCTTGACGACCAGTTCTTTAAAATGTAGTCTATGTGAGCTGTTCTTTTAGTATTTCATCATGTGCAAACCTAAATTTAGTTATAAACCAGGTTTAACATTTCTTTTGGAGATCTTTAAATAACCCCTTGAGTGTCGACACCACTGGTTTAATAGCGTAAGTTCATTCTCGTACTTGGATCGGATTTTGATTTGAGCATCCCTCCTTTGTATGCATTAANAGGCCACACGAAACCTTCCGAAGATTTCCGAAGATCACCCGAACACTCCCGAAGATTTCCGAAGATCCCCGAACACTTCCGAAGATATCCGAAGATCCCCCGAACATCTCCGAAGATATCCAAAGATCACTTGAGTACTTCCGAAGATCGGCCGAACACTTCCGACGATTGTCGAAGATCACCCGAAGATTTCCGAAGATCACCCGAACACTTCCGGGATTTCCGAAGACTTGTGACCATCTCCGGCGATCTCCGAAGATCACCGGATATTTTTGAAGCTTTCCCAAGATTCGGAAGATCGAGGGCCCAGTCTGTTTTTCTTCAGAGACAGTTACTGTAGTTTTCCTTGCAAAGCTGTATTACTTCAGGAGCTATATAATTAATAAGTAACAGGACTACATGCTTGCCAAATTTGGAAATAATTGGATTCAAAAAATTCCTCTGACAGCCAAATTGCCTGCGGTCTCGACCAATTTTGGCTTTCCTCGGAATTTTTTTCGTCCAATTATTTCCAAATTGGACAGCATATAGTCCTATTACATATACAAATGGATAATGGCCGCTGCCGTGAAGTTGGAAAATATTGTGTTACTTACCACCTCCTCCACTGCCTTTGATTCCCGTTATAAGATGTTCATCATTAAGCCAATCTTCTTGGAGTGCACCATCACGTGGACTTTTCTCGTTGAATCCGGTTGCAGCAACCCCTCCTTCCGCGTCTGGATTTGCCATCTGAGGACCCTGTAATTGCTGCTGTTGATAACCATGACCCTGGTAAGAGTCCACGACGTTCGTCATATTTTCCGTTTCAGGATCTCCATCACTGAAAACCATTCCCTGCATAGCGATGGCATCAAGGTATTCCTTGTTGGCTTCTAAAATGCTCTCAGCAATACTTGCACTGTCTTTGATGGCTTCGGAATCATCTTGAGGTGTTTGCTCTCGTTTTTGTTCCTGAACCTTCTTGTTAACGAGGGTCGACAACATAGATGCGACCTCTTTGTTCTTGGAACCTAACTTAAGTGGCCTATCTATCAAACTTTTAAGAATTTGTACAATATGACCCTTGGCGTGTGATCGTCTCTTTAAAGGATTTATGATTTTCCCAGGATTTTTTAAAATGATCTTTAATTGGGGATGGCTCTGAATTTGTACAAAGTCTTGACTATTCAGTTGACCTTGTTCATAAAACTGGTTTTTGATGTTATTGCTTTCTAACTGATTTGTCACACTGTTTCCCTGAGGGCTGGTTTTAAGTTTGGTGTTAAAGAAGTTTTCCTTTTGCTCGTCATGCCCTTCTTCAGCATGGAAGTTGTTTTCGTTACTTGGAATCTGATTTGCATTTTCGAATTTCCTGGCATTATGCGCATCTACCACCGAGCTGTTGCTTACAGAACTTTCGCCTTCTAGAGATTTATGAAGACTGGTCGCTTTCACTTCGCTGTCTCTTCCCCCTTGTTGGATCACCTTGTCACCTTTCGTCGTTTTTGTATTGTTCTGTGTTCTCATTCTATTTTCTTCTGGGTTCTCATTTGACAATTTGTCTTGAAGATTGGGGGTCATTTGTGTTTCCTTATTACTTTCACCATGTTCGTTAACATTGTCACCTTTCGTCCCCATATCATTATGTTGTGTTTTAATTCTATTTCCCAATGGGCTCTCAGATACTGTTTGTGCTGTCGTACTGCCATTTCTGTGTGAAGAAATGACGTCTTGTGCCTCCTTAGATAAAGAACTATGCGATGACTGAACGATAGTTTGGGAGGTATCTTCCAGCTGAGGTGGATTATTTTTGATAGGCTGCGTATGAGAGAATGTTATCGAAGGTCTGGCTAATTGGTTTGGAGACACACGTAATTCTTGCATTGCCTGTGGCTGAGCCACTGGCCTTGACGAGTCAGTTGTTAAAGTTACCTGAAAATCACCATCCTCTTTAGTGATTTGAGAGCCATGATTATCTTGATGATGAACAAACGTTTGTTTACCATCATTAGATTCATTGGTTGACGCAGGTAGATGCGATTGTGAGCCTTTCCCTGCTATTTTATAATCTTCTACAGCAAAATCATTCTCAGAGCATTCGGACAAAGTGCAGTTAATCACGGGTTGCTTTCCAGTGTTGTCCATATTGATTTTAAGTTTAAAATGAAGTGGTGTTGTTGCAGTGGAATCGTTTGTGGATAATATATTTTCCTCAACTGTTTTAGTACCAAGATCTGCATATGACTGATGTTCCTGTTGATACTCGCCCACAGGTTTGAGCTCAGGAGTATTCAAGGCATCGCCATGATCATTTTCAAAACCCTGCGTCCCAGCAAGAACCCTATGGCCATTGTTTGAGGAACTGGTATCCCTATATTGATTTGCTAGTTCAAACTCCTTGACTCCACTCATCCTATTTTGATCAGCTTGTGGATGCGAGCCATAAATATTTATTGCGAACACCTTGTGAGGAGGTTGACCGAGATGACCTTGTAAAGAGTTCGTGTTTCCAACATCCTGGTCAGCTTGAAGTTTTCTGTTATCAGAACTTTCTGGACGTCCTGACGAAAGCCTGTTACTTGCAGGACGTAATGGAATCTTTGGATTTAACTCTGCTGGTGGTGAAGAAGAATCTTGCGAAATGAATGTGCTTTCTCCGTGGTGGTCTAGTCTTCCAGTTCCCTGGCTCAATTTGTTCTTGTTAGCTGATTCTGTTTGCTGTGCCATGAACTTTGACGGAGTTTCGCTTATCTTTTTGTTTTGATCATTTCGCAAACGTTCCTGAACATTTAATGCAACGTCTGCAGATGCCGATTCCAGCTTTTTGTAATTCTCCTTCGTTATAGACCCTATGGTCGTTACGTTTTCAGCCATATTTTGCACATTTCCCCGAAATCTACCGTTGTTGACATCATTGTGTACTCTTCCGTCGTGGAGCTTGTTTATTGTCTGGCTGTGAGCGCCATTAAAGACATTGATAGAAAATAATTTATGAGGGGGCGGTAATTTCAAATCTGTCTTACTATCGTCTTTTTGAGGTTCTGGATGAACACCAACAGAAAGAACCTTCAGTCCTCCATTTCCTGGTAAAGAGGTCCACTTGCTGTCATCTTTTGAACTTGATTTCCCTGATGAATCGCCTTCATTTTCAACATATTTAACATCCTCTGGGATATCACAGCCAGAGATGACTGGATTAAATTTGAGGCCAGTTGGACAAAATTTCTTGGTTGGTTTTTCTCCTTCGCACACGTAAAATGCAGTCTCATCTTCTGGATCGGCGTAAATTCCGTCTTCCTTTGACACACAGAATCCTTCATCACCTATTTTTCAGATCGAGTAAAGCACTTTCATTTTCTCAATCCATTTTAGGACATTATCTGTCTTCTTCTCAATATATGAAAGGGGCTTATTCAGATAACCAACTCGAACTTCGTTGTATCATCAATTAATAACAAAACATAAGACTAGAGAGGAGGGGGATAAAACTTGCCTTCATTTCCGGATAATGCAATTGGTTTAAAAAAATATTGATTTTTCATCGACGCCATAAAAGAAAAAAATATATATATACAAAAGAACCATTAGCGCACCTTCACCAGACGGTGGTCTGTCACCTTGACCATAGCACTGGATTCCTTCAGGCGATCCACCTGTGGACATCCACGAAGTCAAATCAACAGAGCTTTACTCAGTTGGAGAAAAACTTTAATCCAATGCAGTAACGTTAGATAACAATCACGGGTTACTTTTTGTCAAAATAACAGTAAGCCACGCAAACGAAAAGAAATTTAGTAGCGTGGACAGATTGCGTAGCAGGCAGACAGTCAAGATGTCATTCAAGCGTATTTAATTGAATAAATTCGTAACCTGTTCCAAGCTCTCTGAGTCTTTTTTTTTTTCGCCGGCTCGCTTTTTCGATGGTCTCCACTGACCCGAAGCATGGAACAGGCTAAAAAAATTCGGAAACAAAACATCACACTGGGAGAGATTTACCCGCTCATATTAAGCTTACTGTGCAGGTTGTTCAATACAGGCGGTACAAAATATGTGGAAAAAATACATATAAATGAAATAAAAAAAAAGAACATGTGCATGCTAATGTAATAAGGATAAATTAAAGTGTATTAATATAGCATCTTTTACACACCGCAGCGTCGTTAAATAGATAGACGAAACGTAAATAAAGACGATATAAAATAAATTAGAAATAAGTAAGAAATAAATCAAGTCAATAAAGGAAGACGAAGCATACTGACAGGTGTATCTCTTACCTCTGACTTTAGTGTCTGAGAACTGAACATCGGAGTTAATGACAACGTCGTTTTTCAGTGCTAAAATCGTTGCCTCCAGTTGTTCATTCATGATACTTGTCAGTCGAACTTTTAGTGGAAATGATACAGCACCCATTCCCTCGCTAGAAAAGAAGTTATTTGATGTCCTTGCGAGGCAAAACCATTTGCCTTTCACGCGTTCGAATGCTTCAATTCCAGCTACCGGAACTCTGCAAGCGAGAGACATATAATGATGGCTTTACAGTGAAAAAATCAGGCTAAGTGAGTATTAGTATGAGCTAATAAACTCGAAAAATGAATTATGGTGTTGAGGCCACTAAAATGTACGTTGGTCACAGGGTCCACTCCAAAGAGACTTTCTTTCCTTCTGCTATTATAAAGACATTACTCGATAATAAAAAGTGTAGATGTGACATAGATCATTTTGAAATCTTCCTAGTGCTGTAGTCCAAAAATGGCAAAAACATTTTACTTCCTGAAATTCTCTCGTCCATTGTGTCGGTTAATAAAGTAACACCACTGTCAAACGTCTGAACAGATTCAAGAATGGGAAACAATGCCTTCAAGCAAATCACTTGGTTAGTAAATAGTGTCACACCCACAGTAGATCCATATCGCTTCATTATATGGAGCTTCTCAGAACTCCGTGCAGATGGCTGCTGCTCAGCTTATATTGGATTGGTCGACCAGTGTGAGCATAAAGTGATAAAAAAGGGCACACACACTTTCGACCTTATAAACAATACACGAATAAGAAACATTGCCATTGAAGCAAATTACTTGGTAAATGAATCAATCTTGGTGGTTTACAATTAACAATTAGATTATGAGCTCGAGATTTAATTTCTACGAGGGCCGAATCAACTATAGCCTCGTAGAAATCGAGAGCGAATAATCTAATTGTTTTAGTAGAATTCTAACTCAAATCTCTTCAAATAACGATTCGAATTATTTCTGGTCTTAGTATTAAACTTCAAGCTTTAGAGAATTCGCGCAGACTGAAGTAATTGTCAATTTGACATTTGCAGTTGTGTACGCACGCTTATCAGTTTCTTTACAAAATTTCGAGCTTTTTTAATCCAAGAAACTGTAAATGCATTCCTTTTAGTTTTCTGGGGAATTTTATTTATTCGTTTGTTTTTTACGTTTTTTCAAAACTTCGTAGAAACGAGGAAATGTTGCAGTTTTGTCGACCACACTAAGCCATTGCACACTAATGGCTGATAGTATGCAATGGCTCGGCCAATCAGATTACAGTATTTGCATTAGTGTACTAGTAGAATTCTACTAATTAGCAATTATATTATGAGCTCGAGATTTCTATGAGGTGATAGTTGATCACCTCATAGAAATTGAGAGCGAATAGCCTAATTGTTAATTAGTAGAATTCTTACTAAAATTTACTTCAAACAACGGTTTCCAATTATTTCTCGACGTACTATTAAACTTTGCGCCTTAAAAAGATCACTGGGATTGAATTATCATTCAAAATTGAAGTTGTGTGCACGTGCACAAGAAACCGTAAATGGCCATCGTTTAGCCTTCTCAGGAATTTGTCCAGTTGCGTCAAAATTTTCCTCCAATATTTTGGAAAAATGAAAAAAACGTCGCCATTTTGCAAACGACCTCCAGCCACTGCACACTAATGGCTGATAGTGTTCAACGGCTCTGCCAATCAGATTACAGCATTTGCATTAGTATTCTGGTAAAGTTCTACTAATGATTAATAATGACCAATTCAAGACATACTTGACCTGGTGAATTTTACTTACTTGGCATTCATTGCTTGCAATTTGAAATACATTTCGTTGCTGCCGGTAAAACGGAATTGGATGTATCCAGTTGGTCCCAGAGCTGTCGGGCAGTCAGTAGCCTTGAAGTTGATCTCCCACAAACCACTGCCACTTTGAGGAGGGAGAAGAGCCAAGTCTCCTAAATGATTTTATAGGACATGGAAAACAGAATTTGAGGTAAGATATCAACCATATTTGAGTAAACTGTTACCCCCTTGCTTTGCTAAATAATATAAATTAAAAAATTAAAAAATAAATAAATAAATAAATAAATAAATAACCAATCAGTACTAATAGTACTGTTATCAAAGTGGTGCTGTGAACCGTACATAAAAAGTAAAAAGAAGAAAATCTAAGAAGTACATATATAGAGGATATTACATGCGCGCGCGTGGATACGAATTTTATCTTCGAGCGTTCAACTCGATGAGATATTGAGTTGAACAAGAGAAGTTAAAATTCGTATCCACAAGCGCATGTAATATTCTCTTTATTATATAAACATACTAATGACGACGTTTTTGACGATTTTCCGAAGATTTCCGACCGCTTTCCGAGGATTTCCGAAGATTTTCCAAAATTGTTCCGAAGGGCAGAAGAACGCTTCCGAACATTTTTCGAACATTTCAGAACATTTTCCGAAGATTGCCGAAGACGACCAAAGAAGATCCGAAGATGTTTCGATCATTCATCAAAAAATTTAAGTGTAGTTAAAGGGACAAAAGAAAAATGTCATCAAAAAGGAATGATATCTTCACAGTGTGAAAGATAAAAATAGTATCTTCACTGCGCGCGATGAAGATATGATTTTTTAGTGAAAGGAAAAATCCTGGTATTTCACTGGTGTTTATATAATATAAGATCACATTTAAAAATTGGGAGGCTGCTTGTCCCTGGTAGGAAATGGACGGTTACACAAGGAGGCCATGGTGTTATTTGCCATATTACAGCTAACATTATCAGTATACTGACTGGCAAACAGAACGAAGGTGAGAGCACACAACATTCTAACATATACATGTACCACACTGTCTTATAGTGAAACTCTAACAGAACTAATTTTAGAGGTTAGCTCTATAGTTTAGCTCCTTGTACCCCCACGGACAATGAATTTGCTGTTTTGCATAGCTTCGTCAGCGAAAGTGAACACAGTCAATACCTTGATTTAGCGAATCATCTTGATCGACAATTATTCCTTTCAAAGTTCCTTGGACTGGTGGTGAGCCGTCTAGGTCAGCGGCAGCCGGTTTACCGCTACCGAGTATTTTAACGCAAGCCCCACAACCGAGAGAGGCTTGGAAGTCGTCCCTAGACGCAGCAACAAGAAGTATCCCAGGTGTGTTGGTAACCGATGGTGGCAGGTCCATCGAGCAAGCGTTTTTCCCAGCGTCAGCATACTTTGCCTGGAAGATACAATAAAGAAAATAAATCTTACAGTAGAGGCGATAAAGTTAGCACGATCAACAAAATATCAGGTTCTGCAAAACGTCTCAGATTCCTTAGCTAGACAAAAGACCAAGAGGAATTTAACGTTGAAGAGTTATGAATGTAACCTTCGAGGAAACGCCTAGTTATTTGTTGTTGTCAGCGGTTATACTATACTCAATGGCGGTGGGATTTGGAGCAGTGGAGAATAGTAGGAAGGTCAAATGACAGCCCAGAATCTTTCCGAGATTTGCGCATGCACACTGTGGTTTAATTACAGAACTTACAGATCTGTTTCTGCCAGGTGCTCGCAGACACGTAAAAAAACAATCCTCCATAGGAAAAAAGACGGCAGCTGTACATTTTACCACTACCATGCGAACCTTACACGGCTCATAAAGTACAAGGAAAGCCATATTTTTGGAATGTTTGACCCTGTGTTAAAGACAGTTTGTGTGCCAAGTTTGAAGGTTTTAGGACTTTTCTATGCGTTTCGTGCGCTAAGAATTATGGGGAAATGTACCAGTCGCCATCTTTTTTCCTTCGGAGGATTGTGTTATAGTGCACGATTAAGGCCAGAAAAAGCGAGCAAAGCAACTAATTTTGCTGAGTTCCTCAACTATCGCCTGTTATAAGTTTCATTAACTTTTTAGATGCCGTTTATCAACAGTCATCTTAGAAAGATGACTTTTCGTTGATGTCAATCCCTGTTACAGTGTAACGCTATTCAAAAGTTCAGTGAATATGGAAATTTTCAATAATTTCATTGATTGTGTGTCGATGGCAGATTTTTAATTTTTTATTAAGCCTTAGGTATCTTTAAGATAGTCCTTTGCATGAGCCATATTCGCTTCCCTGGGCATCCTTACCTAGGCTGCAAAACAGTCGTATTTTTTGCGAACGCGAGCGACGGTCAATATTCGAACGAAAGGTTTGGAGCGAGTGTAAAAACGGCGAAGGAGAATGGGGAGAGACGATTGTTTTGCAGTCTAATCGTTACCAGATACATTGATATGTTATAATTAACAAATGGTAAACGCCATAGCGTGCACAGTTGAGTTATGGATGCACGCGGGAGGCTGCTAAGCACGAAAGAAGCGTAAGAGTCGCACTCGGATATCGCCTCGTGCGACTGTAGCTTCTTGAGTGCTTAGCAAATCTCCCAAGTGCATCCATAACTCGATAGTGCACGCTATAGCGTTTACCATTTGTTTTATAACATAACATTGAGACATTGGAACAACAGAAGTCCTTTTATTGAGCTACATCACAAAAAAATGTTCGTGTAGTCNCAGACAACTGTGAAGACAGTTTCGCATTTCTGGCAGAAGGACGTCGGCCATTACTTTGGAAACAGTGTCTGTCAAAAGATTCACTTTGTAAACATTAGCACACACGTCATTAGCGTATACACCCATGGGCAAATAGTAGACGCTAAATTAACCAATCAGAGCGCGCGCTTTGGTTTAGTTATGTTATAACTATATATTATAAATAGCAAAAATAAAACAATGACCATTATTTTAAGTACGTAACACTCACCTTTCCTCTTGACTCACTTACGTATCTGTTGTACATTGCTTTGACATTATCAAGTGTTGTATCCCTTTTGACGAGTGCAGCATGCTGTTGATTTAGTAAGTCATTATTAACAGCGCATGTGCATTATTAAAATATATAAATGTTATTATTAACAGTGCATGTACATCTGCAAACGTGTTTGGCGACCAGGACGATGGTGAACTCCACTAACATTAAAAAAACTGCGAAAGTGGCCAAAAGTTTCTTACGTTCAGTAAATCTTACTTTATGTAATTAAATGTTTCAACTGAAAACGGTGGCAGCTCAAATGAACTTTTTTTCCATCTCGCCTAATTTTGAAACAACGGCTCAAACTCAGAAAAGGACTTCCTGAGGTTAGTAAATATCACAGGTTTAAAAAATGTTGTTAATTTGAAACAACCAATAACGGTAAAGCAAAGATACCATGTTCTCTTACCTCTTTACCAAAAGCAAGCACTATCCAAAGGGACGTTGTTATAAATGATACGAGTCGTCTGTTTGCCGTCGCATACATATAGACAGACATTGGATAACTGTTTGCACAAAGAATATAACATATGCTGAAAATGTTGTCCACTACATAGAAGCAGTGCAATTTTGATTCTTGTAATTTAAAACATTTTACTAGGGAATGACGTACTTGATTTTAGGCGTCTTCTATCTTTCCAATCAACTAGATAACACGTGAAGAGTGGTTTCTAAATGCTCAGTATATACGGATTTCAGTTCGAAGTATTTAGAAGACTGCGCCAATGACCCAATTGATTGAGACAAAAGTTTCAATGTAATACAGGAATCGCTAGTGGTTTCGTAACAGAACTTTGTTCAATGATGCCGTTTTCCTTTTCTATATTATATTATATATTACGAATTTCACACAGCTGTCACCAAGAACGTTTAGCACTTTGACTGACTTGGAAGGATATTTTGTTTCGATTGGTTTCAAGTGGTAAGATACCGACCATTGTTGTCTAGAGGATCCAACCACTATCACACGAAGCGAGGTAAAGGGCTGCTGCCGGTACCACGTACATTATTATTGATGCAACTAACTCGTTAAAGGGTACCTATTAATATCATAATTAACCACTTTTATCCGATGGATGGGACTTTTAGCTAGACATCAACTAAATGATCAGGGAATGCCTCGCTTGCAGAACGATAAAATCGTGAGGGAAGTGTCATTAACACATATTAATTTTTGTGAATATAGTAGCTGTTCATAAATTGGAAACTTGAGAGTTCAGACCGACCATCCTCCAAGAATAATATGTTAAACTGATTACGTGGCCTGTCTGAGAAAAATCCTTTCACCTACCTTAACAAATCATTTACATGTTCCAAGAACAAGGCCAGTGATTGAAATACAGCGGGAAATGTCTCTAAGACTATCTGTTCAGTCGCTTTAAAGTAGTTAATAATTTCTAGACCTTTTTGTTCTATCTAGGTCAGAAGGGCATCACAGCTGTTCTATTGAAACAGGTGCCTGTAAATAGTGCTTACACGATTACTTGACTTTAACTAAATTTAAGTGATTCCGTAAGATCTGATTTCAGAGACCAAAATCAATGTCTAGCTAGAAATGGGCTCTTAGATCAATTGTGCAATGCCAAATTTTATTGCTGGTGAATGTAAGACGTTATAAAACAAGGTTGGAAATGGTCAATTCCCCTTATAAGATGCGCCTGCAGGGAATCATGGGAGTCGTATTTATCATCTTGGACAAGATGTTTGTTGTGATGAGGCGTGTCTCAAAGGCAATTGGCCATTAATCTTAACCCAGTTGTTTAAAGCGTACGTAATTACATGTAGCTACTTCGAATTTCAGCGCAGCCATTAGACGACAGGGCCCTGAAAAAATTATTATCCGCCCAATAAATTTCTATCCCGTGAATATCGTAACGTGTTTTATTGCCAGCATTTATTCACTGGGTAACGATTTATCTGGTGGATAGCGTTTTTTAATCTTTTAACAATGATTTGGGTCTTGTACTTCTAGTAGCTTCGCAATTTCGCAACTGTATCCTTGAAAAGGTTACTCGCGAATTTTCCCAATTATGTGATTTAGTAGTTTAGTTTAAAGTTTCCGTCCTGGTTGTGGTTTTTTTTTTTGGAAATCAAAGAGACAAAAGGGAAGACAAATGGCTTTACAAACACCGTGGCAAATTTTTAACCTTCAGCCTTTGTCAAAAGGCAAATACTTGCCTTACTCAGCTACAACGTAACATTTGGCAGTCTTCCAATAAAAATTTAAGGACCAGACCTTCGCAATTTGAGATTGGCACACCCCGAAATTTCGGTTGTCCCTTGCGCTTGCTCCAAATACTGGCTTTAGATGATTATTATGAGAATCGACAATAGATTACGAATAGCACACACTAGTTATAACTAGTACGCTGGGCAAAACTGTTCTATATCGACGTTTTACGGCAAAACATTAAAACAAGCAAAGCGATGCTGCAAATAACTTTTTGATTGCCTTAAACCTTATTAAATTCCACACATCGGAATTATTTTGATTTATATAATAACCCAAGTAATTTTCGCATTTTGATTGGTTCTCGCCTATGATCTATTAGAGGACAGACGCACGATTGACGTCATCATTTCAAAGTTTTTCCCTCTGTGTTTTGAAATGGCGGAAAGTTTTGAGAATTTAGATAATGTTTTTCATGACTGGGCAAAAGATGAAGTACAAAAAAGTCTTGTCGAGGCATTGAACAGGAACAAGAAGCATAGTCTAGCAGGAAGGAGAAAGATAAAGCCGTTTCTTTTTTAGAAAATGACTCTGAAAAAATACTCGAGCAGTCTCAGTCGGCGGTCAAGCGAGACTAAACCAAACACAAAATTGGTCATGGTAAGCCGAGAACCATTGCCGCTTTATCTCGAATTTAACAAACCCAATAAACAAAATGTTTGTGAGAAAAAAATTCAACTTTTCTCGATCTCAAAATAATTGTTGACACACTGATTGATGTCAAAAATGAAACATCAAAACCGCTTCTTAAAATCCGTTAAAATAAACACATAACCTTGCTTTCCGACGCGAATGTTCCAGTCCGTTTCAGGACACAGCAGCGAGCAAAGTTTAGCTCACTACAGCTCCCGGCCAACTGTATTGCAGCTAAAAGGTGTCTCCGACACTATTTCAAACTGATTTGAGAATCACCAACCACAGAGGACACAAATTTCCACCATCACTAAC